TTAAATCGTGAAGGAAAGTTATGCAGTAAATCGGCCCATAATCCACTAAACATCACAGGCTAGCATTGCCATCTAGAGTTGATTATGGTCTGGAAACGTTAATTAATGTCTAATTAATAATTTAGATAACATTTCAGGCCTAAAGAAAGACCTGCAATAGACAGATTTAGCTCTTGCATAATGTATGTTTAAATAGTTAACTGTTTTTTTTTTTTAAAATACAAATTATTTTAAGAATCTAAATCCATAAGTTTATGAATATAATTTAAAATGTCTAGCTTGACCATCTTGGTATGTGTCAAAGTTAAATGTTATTTTGTGTAATCTGTTTATATGCATAATGTGGTGGAATATATGGGTTTCTTATCTTAATAGTAAAACTGGGGGCAAGCTCCAAGAACCCAGTTTCGGTCTACTAGGAGAACAGCCCCCCCCCCCTACCCCTAATATGAATTTCATTCTAATGCAGAATGTGTATTACCTAGTTCAGATGAATAGTGTACAGCCATTATTCACAAAGAATGTGTATTACCTGCATATAGGTATTATATTTATTCAATATTCAACCTTCTAGTAAAGTCGAGTGCACTCTGAGTCATTTTTGATTCCCCGCTTGTATGTCACAATGAGTAGAGTTGCCTGTCGAACCTTATCGGTTTTCTCCGGGTCCCCTGGTTTCCTCCTACTGCCAAGGACACCAACAACGTGCAAGCAATTTACTGAAATTAAATTAACACTATGTTAGTTCCAAAATGACCTAGTTTGTGTCAAGTAGACATTAAACTTCATTCCTCTCACTCTCTCCTCTGTTATAAGATTGAATTCTAGAATTTATAATAAAACCACCCCAAAAAGTCTATGATTTCTTCCTTTCATTTCTTACCGGTAGAAGGATAACACCAAGTATTGTGATAATTTTCGATAATTAAACATTAGACATTAGTAAATGTAGATAAATTTAGATGAGAGACAGGTACTCTTCACATTCATTATGATCAGTTGATATTAATCAAAACATTCTACATCACTACTGTATTGTTGTATATTCACCTCGCCCAAAACTTGAATCATATCTTGTAATGGTTGACTACTTCAAACTATTTCACCCTAACAAATGGATGGATTTTATATATTGAATACTTGTAATGTCGGTTGTGTTGCTCATTATTATTGTGAAATATGGTATGGTTCTTGGAAAAATATGATTAATTAATGCCACAAAAAAAAGTTTTAAAAGAATCTGTAACATATCCATGTAGGATAAAATTCCTCAAACACATCTGTGTATTATTTTTATTTTAATCTTTGAGTGTTGTGTGCGTTAAATGGACCACTTGACCCCTCGCTAAATTGATGCTGTAAATAAATTTGTCTTCAAATCAATGTTTTGTGTGCAGTAAATGGACCACTTCACCCTTCACCACCCCCACCCAAATGATGCTATAAATAGATTTGTCTTCAAATCACCTTTTTTAAAACTAGATATAAATGGACAGAGGACATGGCAAGGAGAACCCTCTAGTTGTTCAGATGGGACAGAAAACTGAGGTTAAATTGACGTGTTGGCATGCTCATAAAAGAACCTTTGACAGTTTTTAGTTGATGAAGAGTGTATTTGGAAATGTTGTTGAGGCATAGTGTTTATGCCCGTCTTCATTAGCTCTGTTGGTATTAAACCACATTTTATAAACTAGCATATACTTATTGTTGGCTGGCTATTGTCTGATTAGTTATAAGGAAGAACTCCCTACAAATAAAAACTGATTGAGCCTACATTGAGAATTTTTACCTAAACAATGTTAAAAACCATTCATGATACATGTACTATATATGACCTCAGTGTAGTCAAAAGTCTTTATTCACTAGTAATGAATTCATATTGTCAATGTCACATATAATTGTTGTATGTAAAACTAAAAAAAAATCATTGATTTACCTGTATATGTTATGGTATAAATGGGTTAACAGGTGTATTTGAAATTTTACAAGGTATATCGGATTAATTTAACACATTTAAGTGTCTTGGTCACAGTTGTGTGCAGAGAAGGCGGGTCAATTTCAGGTGGTCATCCAATCAATGATTGAAATTAAAATAAAGTTTTTAGAAATTAGAAATTATTGCTGTTACCTTTGCTGCACAAGTTGCCCTACTTGATTTATTTATTTTGTTGTAACATCCTCCTTTCTCAGATTCTTACAGTTCTGAGTATTATGCCCTAGGAGTCTTGGAGGTATATATACAATCTCAGAGTTGGCCCTAGGTATTAACACCGTTCGACTTTCAGGGAATGTAGCTCGTCGACGGGAGTTCTTTAAGTATCAGAAATGAATACAGATTCTTGGAATGGATCTTCAACTCTTTATTTCAGCAGCAAATAATTAACAGCAACAATTTAACAACCTATAATTTCCTATATATTGGCCCTCCAAATAGTATGTTCCCTAAACTGGTCTCTCCAACTAATAATCTCATCTAACATACATTTGTCTATTTATACAAATCAGTTACTTAGAAAGTGTTGACATAAACATATAATTATTGAAGGATTAAGACTTAAGGCATTTAAAACAATAGTTAGATGAGACTTAACAGATCAACCACTTTAGTTGCCAGTCTGTCACAATTTGACTGACAGGTTATTTGCTGTATGACTAACCAAGCATTAATGAAAATTAAAATATATACTTGAAATTTAAAACAGAATTGACAAATAATAAAATAACAAAACAACATATGACCTAGACATCGGTCATATATCCCCCTTACTTCAAACAAAAACATGACCCCATGTTTTAAGCATTTAATAAAATCAAAAATCCTTATTTTTCGATTAATCAAAGTAACATAATCTATCCCTTTTTTCATGATAATAATTTCATAAAATAATGTTCTTGCAAATTGTACTGGTTAACTTTTTCATTTGGTAAACATAATTTGGGTCCTTGTATTCTATTTGACTTTGCATTTATGTATTGTTGAGCACAATAATCTAGTTCCTCCTCCAGAACCCAAGAATTCTTCCACTGAATGATATATTCTTGTTTTGTGTTCTTAACTCTTTGTCTAAGCACTTTGTCGGACACTTGTACAGGTGGATTTGTTGAACAAATTCCTACATATCAATGGTCTTGACTGCTGGTACTTTTGGCACTAGAACTTGAAACATCTTTCATCGCTGCCTCACTGTCCAAATTTATTTGACAACCTTTATCATGGCTATTTGCAGGATGACACATTGTTTCTCTTGTCACCATTAACACTGGGTTATTCCCAACAGCCACATCTTTAGTATCAGGAACATTTTGGACACCCACATCCTTTTTACTGGAGACCACAGAAATCTGTTCTTTTTGGGCATCCTTCTTAGCAAAAAATTCTAGCTGTCGCTGTCTATCCCTTTGTCTTTTGGCAAAAGAACGATATTTCTTTTCCGGACTGGGTAATGAATTTTCTGAGAAGCCCATTTAAAGCTGATTTCTGTAGAACCCCTATCCTGTTTGAGACTCCAAGACATTGGTAGTTGATTCAGATTTCTTATTGCTGCTACTGCTGCTGAAGGAAGAATAAAGTTGATATCCATCCTTTCTTCTTCCAAATATGTTTACAATTTATCTCGCTTAGCTGTACCGGAATCAAGAGTAGACAATTTTGTTTACTCTACCCGGCATCTCCACCATATAACACCGTTCGACTTTCAGGGAATGTAGCTTGTCGACGGGTGTTCTTTAAGTATCAGAAATGAATACAGATTCTTGGAATGAATCTTCAACTCTTTATTTCAGCAGCAAATAATTAACAGCAACAATTTAACAACCTATAATTTCCTATATATTGGCCCTCCAAATAGTATGTTCCCTAAGCTGGTCTCTCCAACTAATAATCTCATCTAACATACATTTGTCTATTTATACAAATCAGTTACTTAGAAAGTGTTGACATAAACATATAATTATTGAAGGATTAAGACTTAAGGCATTTAAAACAATAGTTAGATGAGACTTAACAGATCAACCACTTTAGTTGCCAGTCTGTCATAATTTGACTGACAGGTTAATTGCTGTATGACTAACCAAGCATTAATGAAAATTAAAATATATACTTGAAATTTAAAACAGAATTGACAAATAATAAAATAACAAAACAACATATGACCGAGACATCGGTCATAGTATCACCAAACACGTGTATACCACTGCATGGTCAGGCATGTGTTTTAGTACACTTATACTCTTTCTGAAACACCTGACATATTTTCATTATTGGGATATCAATCACCTGACTTGAGGGATTTCTTGTCCATGTAGGGTCGCCTGTCCAACCTTGTGGGTTTTCTCCAGGTCCTCCGGTTTCCTCCCACTGATAAAAAACCCTACGTGCAAGGGTGGACGATAAACTCCATTTCTCTCACACTCTTTTATCATTTCATATGCTAGAATATTTGTATATTTGATTACCAGTATATTTTAGCCCTTTATAGGGGCGATTCTGAATAAAGACTGTGTGTATGTTTTAGGGATTAGCTGACGGAAAGTTAGAAAAATGTCAAGTTTTTGACAATTAATTTTTGTGTTTTTATATAGTTACTGGAAACTGTTCTTTTACTAAAATATCAGAATTTCACGATGCATGTAAAATGTTATATAATAAGAAGTGTTATATGGCATTTGATTTGTCAACTGCTTAAAGCATTGCATGTATCACTTTGCCTGCAAAACAGTGGGCAACAGGTGTCGCTTTTCCTATTTACAGCTAACAGTGTAGATTGATCAAATTATCTAAAATAGATTGCAACGATTATTACGAACTTGTATTATCAACTGAAAGATCGTTTGCTCCACCTATGCTCTATTTTTTGTCGTCTGCCTGGCAAACTTATAAAAAAATATTTATTTAAATTTGTTTAGCTTTTAAAACTTTACAGAAAAAATAATAGACATTTTACTATAGTTCACAGGAGGTTATGTGAAATTTTCTAATGGTTTTCTATCTTATATTTCAGCTAACAGATAATAATAATGTTTTGAATAGGAAGATGTAAAAAAAGAAATAGGATAGCAGTAAATAGGTGTAAGAACTTTAGGATGTATATATAAAAGAAACTAGTCACTTGTGTAAGTATATTTATTATTTATATTTTAAAGGGGTGCGAGTCAAATGCAGAAGGATAATACATTTTAGAGGTACATATAGAAATGCCATGGCGGATCGGTGAGTATGGTTACTGAATCACTGACCTAGAGGTCCCAGATTTGATCCTGGTTCAGTTTCTCAATGTCAGTGATGCAGGATGCAGGCCATGGAAATGAATATTGTCTAATCGTTCGGATGTAACACATTGCCATGCCGTGCAAGGAAAGAACCCCTGACAGTTGGAATTCTATTGTTGTCATGGCACACTGGTTGGCATATGCCTGTCTTCATTAACCCAGTAGGTCGGGAAATTTAGAATTTAAATCCCATTTCGTTTATTCAAACAATAAAAATAACTGAGCTTCTCAAGACTGACCCTGATAGTGACAAAAATGAAGGCACAGGGATAGTATTTTAATCCAAATGGATTCACATTCATTCACACTTTTAGAACTTTCACATTGGATGGCATAATGATAAGATTTAGTCATGAAGGATCCCAACCCTCTTTGTATACTACAATCTGGTGTATTTGGTTCCATCCATACATACCTTTCAGATGACAAACTGTGAAAATTTAAGCAGTCCAAATTAATTTGAATATTTTAAGAATGGCGCTTTATCACTGACCGACAATCAACTGCTGCTTTCTTATAATACTTTAGTTCAAGATTGTGTGAATAAATCCCCTGTTCTGTAATAAGATTAAAACATACTTTATTGTCATATATATGTTCATTGTTAAATATTGGATATCATGATCCCATATTTTCATGGTAAGATAACAACAATATTGATTGAAATGGACCAATATTGAATTCTAATTTGTGTTTTTAATGTTGAATGTTATGGATAAAGCTATACACCCATTAAACTAACCTAATGGAAGCTGTTGCTAGCTTCTCAGTATTTTAAGGCTGCGGTAAGAAATTTGGATTACCATTATTTATTGTGTCGGTGACATCGTAACTATTGGTTCGTGGTTCATTAAAACATCAATTGCTGATCAGTCGGTACTAGACATTGATAGATTGAGCTTTAACATGTGTTTGTATTATTATATAAATCTGTCACTCACTCATATATTGACAGATTGATTGTAAATATCAGCTTCATGAATATTTATAAGATCCGGACATGATTTCTTTTACCTGTGACCTCAGTCGATTGGATTAATTACATGTACTTACTTGATCATGTCTGTACAAAAAGGCAGCTGAATTAATTGTACCATACCAAATATTAATACTAATATATATGAATAATATCTGTTATGGTATTCGATTTTTCATGGAAGAGTGGTTGAGTGGTCTTTAGAATATTAGGTCTGTCAAGAGGCATAGTTTCGATCTCAAGCCTGTGCATGACAATTAGTAGGGTTGTCTGCGCAACCTCGTGAGTTTTCTCTGTGTCCTCCACTTTCCTCCACAGTTAAAGTCTCCTATGCAGGCTCATTATTGAAAAAAAATGTTTCTATCCCGAAATCACCTAGTTTGTGTCAAGGGGATGTTAAACCCAATTTCCTTCTTTCTCCTCATGGATTTATATATACTAATTAACAGGTAATATTTCTGACATTTGAATTCATTCAGTGACAATCACAATTGATTGGAGCTTGCGTTGTTACCAAGCACAATTGATTGTAGCTTGCTTCGTTTCCATGTCTGTCTATTAAAAGATCAGAAGTAAATTTCAAAATTGACAACTTCGACTGTTACACACATTTGAAAGCAGTAGAATCTCTTCAGTGTAATTGAAGTTGCATGTAATGCCATTTGTCAGATAACCTCAGGTCAGGTGTTAGAATAATTTAGTGGACAGGTTCTATAATTATCTTTATTGCCATTTATTAGCAGAATGGAATTATTGTATTTATATGGTAAATATACAGATTGTAAGCATTGTCTTATGTCTATATAAATTGCTTCAAGATGGTAGTCTGAAATTTGTAGAGGCTAATGTAAACTTTAAAATGTTCAGAACGTCTGTTAGTATTGATCGACCTGTCCAGTTTTCAAAAGACTTTTAGCCTTAACTGTCTAGTTTACTAAGATATATTTGGGAATATTCCTTTAAGAACAGTTCTGATATTCTTTAATTTAAAGTCCTATATTGCCCTTTTATTTTTGCATCTTGTATGATTGAGACATCCATTTAAAACTGTGTACTGGATAATCTCACATATAAGCAATATATTTAATGTCGTTATGTCATGTTGTCCTATCAGTAGGATAGATACATGGTAACAGAATGTCTCGTATAGATTTAATATATAATTTACCCCTCAAAAAATAATTTATTGATCTCAACTTAAAAATTATGGCCACTCAGTGTTTTCATGAAAACTGTGATATATGAATAGACCCTGTAAATAACTGTTTTAGTTGTATCTGTCAAAATGTTGAGCACTACTGAACCAGTAGACATTTTATTAATAATGTCAATAAAAACACAGAAAAATGACAAATTAGTGCCAGACAAAATGGCAGGCATCATAGGGCTTGTGTCCGAAAGTATGTCTGTGACAGATGCCTTATTTCCAGGCTTGTGTGGTTGAAACTATTTATTAAATTTGCCCCATTAAGCTTTTGAAGATTTAGTTCGTTGATACTCCATGTACCAGGTTTAAAAGTCCAGTGCGAGCTGAGAAGAACAATTATAGAATTTTTTGAGTTCGATTCACACATATTGGGTGGTGGCGATGGGGCTGACAAACCAAGTGTGATACCCCCCCCCCCCCCGACACACACACAAAAACGAGGCTTGTTAATGCCTGTGGAAATTGATACTGCACATTAAAGATCTTTTGGAAGTTGAATTAGAATAACAGTAGGCAAAATGTTCCTTCTACCATTGCATAATTAACTATAAAAATAGAAATAAAATTTACAGACAATATAAACAAGTACATTTTAGCGACAATCAGCAGCTTTAAACTGTAACAACTTTTCTGCTCGATAAGCCATACAGTTTGCTATTAGGGAGATTTTGCCTGGATAGCGGCACTAGCCTACTCTTATATTGAATTCCAACTTTCAAGGGGTCTTTTACATCAGCGCCAACATGTACACAGGGCCTTGGTTTTGCTTTCCTTCCGAATAAAAAGATGCCAAGCCCTCCATCCTGAACCACTGACAGTGGGAAACAATGCTGAGACCGAACGCAGGACCTACAAGTTAGCTGGTCAGTGTCTTACTCACTGAACCACCACAATTATATGAAGTAAATAGATACTATGGTTGCTATTGTGTAGAAACGTACTGTGTTCTGTGATGATATTTCTGTCTTTGTTTGAAGATAATCAATAATTGATTTTATATCGTTAATTATTAAAAATTGTTAGCACATGATGGATGATATTTGGTAGCCCAACAGATTCATTTATTTTGTGATACTTGACAGAGCAATATTTGATTTGATTTAAATATATTTCAATGAATATAATAATTTCCAGAAGTTCTCTATATTTGATATTTTAAGATCAGACAGTTTGTGATAGAGATGACAAGAACGATATACCAGGTCTCCAATTTCCAACATATTTGTCAGTCTTAATTGACTGGCAGTGAAATTGAGCTGTGGGGAAGCTTACCTGTCAGTCAATTTACATGTCATAGAAATAAATTTTAAATAATTTAAACTGTAAAACACAATAAAGACAGTTGAATCATTTATATATATCTCTGGGTCATGTTGCCATTTGATTATTGTCTATCAAGACAAATTTGCTGCTGGTGTGCGAATAAAATAACATGTTTTATGTTCTACTCCACTGACATATAACATATTTTCTCTTAAGCGAAAGTTCAGTTCATTTAATTGATTAATCAAATTGTCTCTTGATGTATAAAACATTGGTTTGTAGGGAATTATGAGAAAGTTGACCAGAAGCGATGTAATATTTGGGTGTATGGTTGGTTTATATTTGTAAAAATTAACATTGTCACTCAGCAAACTTGGGGATGATAGAACTCATGTTAGAATACTATGCATTGCAAAAATCAGAAAAACAATGGACCTTACATTCAATTCTAATGAAAGTTTCTTTACACTAATCTTCAATAATATCTGAATAATTTTTTTTTAAATTTTCATTCAGAAGCCCAAGCTGAGCGGAAATCAAAATGGTTGCCAAACCAAAAGACCAAGAGAATGAGCAAGAAGGGGTGGAGGATATGATCCATTTAAGGTAGGTAGTAGGTACATTTTAACATAAACAAAATGTATATATGTATGATAGATATTGTCGGTGATTAGTAGGATGCTAAGAAAAAATGCCATGGTATGGTTCATTGTTGTCTGTAAGTACTTTACTCTATGGAGGGGGCGGGGTGTGGTTGAGTGGTCTAACACATACGCTTCAAATTATAAGGTATATCACTGATTCAAGTGGTGCAGTTTTAATCCCATCCTTGTGGATTTTCTCCACATCCTCTCACAGCCAAAATCTCCTACGCACAATCAAATATTGAAATGAGATTGTACCATATGTTAATCCCAAAATGACCTAGTTTGTGCTTAATGGATGTTAAATTCTATTTCTCTACCTCTCTCCCCTCCTTCGATATCCTCAAACATGAGGAATAAACAAAATATTACAAACATGCACCTGTGTGATAAATACAATTGAACGAGTAATCTGTAGAACATATTATCTAGAACAGTGTATTTGTTAACATTATACACATACCAGTAGTTGGTTTTGGATTTAATTGTTTACAAAATCAATCATTTCTGTCCTCCAAGGTGATCATTTCTTTGTTGTGTTTCATGTTTCCTTCATCATCCCTCACTTAATCTTTGTCTACTGTCATGTTTAACATTTGTGTGTCAGTTCAGGTCAATTTATGTACTACTGTTATTTTGTGGGTTTTCAAATAGGAATTAATGAATGAAATCATGTTTAACAGCTTACTTTTCTGCCCCAACCGGGTTAATGATAACAGAAATATACGCCATACAGTGTGCTAACACTGGGACTGAACACAAGAGCTATTGGTCAGCAAGCCTGCGCCTTATCACTCGGCCACTGTGGGTCCCTTTATTAATAGGAAGAAGGTAGTTATATGGAAATAGAATCAAAAGGCAGAGCACTTAAATGTCCTCCAATTGACATGATGTGTTTTATTTTGCCCATTCCTTGATTATGATTTCCAGAAATCAGTATTCCCACCTACTCCAAATATCATGGGTTATTTGACGTTGAACACAAATGGACTGTTTTTTTCCCTACCAAACCCCAGAATTCCCCTCATTCCTGATCATGATTTTCCGGACAACAGCGTTTCGACCTACTCTTCCATTTCCAAATGACAAGGGTTATTTGACATGAATGCCAAATTGGACCCAAATGGACCTTATTTTTTTCCCTTCCAAACCACAAAATTTCACGTATAGCACACTGTATGCCCATCTTCCTTAGTCGGGTTGGTGCAGAAAAGTAGACTATTAAACCTCTTTTCATCATGAGAATAACACAAGCAGAATAACACCCATTTTGTCACATCCTTAAGCAACAATAAATCTAACAAGACCATCTTCTCACGCCTGTTAAAAAATTATTTTATTGTGTTAAATTTTCCCATTATTGTACTGCAATTGAGATGGGTGTATACTGAGGATTACTCATCTTAGCGAGAAATTAGACTTTCATCTGCAGTCGACAAATATTATTACAACCCTTCAAATACAAATAGCTCTTTAAAGCAGTTTAAACATCAACTCCTTATAGAAATGATTTATTTATATATTTTTAAAATGAAAACAAGATTTTGAGGGTCGGTTTACTGTTTTGAATAGCCAGTGGATAACTTATTAATATATTCATTGAGATATATAAAGCTTTCACTATTGAATAACTTTATTCTCATTCTGTGAATAAGTTCTTGTTATTACAATTATGCGTCTATTGTAATAATAGATATTTGTGTAAATGTTTGCTGTTCACTACTAAAACTCATTGAATATTGAAATGGTTTTATTCTTCGTCGATATTTGTTTAAATGTTTGCTGTTCACTACTAAAACCCATCTGTGTTATCACAATGCTGTACTTAAAGTGCACATAAGATGGTCCCGGAAGATTTGAGATACGTGTAGCCAATGGTTACTATATCCACTTTACGGCAAGTTTACGCCAATCTGGTTGAAATTAATTCAGTTATCTTCATTCAAAGTTGTAAAAATAGACCTTCCGTAAAAACGGCTTTGCCAATTATCGAAAACACTTTTAATACCCTCAGACGCCAGTGACGTCACAGTGACCGAATTCATATTCGGAATGTTTATTCCTTAATTACCTATATACAGCCGGCGTGTGAATTCTTTAACGCCTGAAGGATTCCTTTATCCCCCTAATTAAATAAAACAATTGACTACGGAATAATTTGTTTCGTAATTCATTTTAATTTAAGATCCAATTTAGGGTGCCTACAACTTTTAAACTTTGAAGTCCTGAACTCTTAAGTAATTTTTTACAATATGGAACTTATTGGACGAACACTTTTAATATGTAAAAAATATACGGGTCTAGTTATGTGGTTTTTACTGCGAGCACTTCGCTTTTCCACATAAAGTGTAGTGTCGTTAATATCTGTCATTAATTAATCAATCCGATTATAAAAGTTATACAGGCATGGGTCATAAATTAATTTCAAGTTGGTGTTAGCAGTGAGTGTTAGTGGGATTAAGAATGTTGATTAGGTAATTATCTTTTTTTACGCCGGCCAGATCAAAGACATCACTCTCAGTGGAACGTGTGCGTAATACCTCACGAACGAACTAATGGTAGAATCATACACACACACATTAATTGTATAAAATAAATTAAGTTTTACTAATAAGTTGTTTAAAATTACTATATACCCAATAATTATTGCTCACCGGTGTTTTTGTAATCAAGTAGCCTCGTATTGTTTGTTGATTGGCGTTTAAACAACATTTAATTGATGGATGGATTAACGTTTTTCATACGATTAGGTTATAATGTCTAACATCGGTTATCTTCTTTATAATAAAAGTATTTTACAATTGCATCTCCTATTTCAACTTTCATTATGACAAAGTGAGAAGATGACCCGCCCTCTCTTCCCACGACAACGATTTCCAAGCCATTTTTAAAACCGTGTTTTAAAGTGATTTTTAGATTTACAAGAACTTTTAATTATTTTAAATCTGTTTTAAAGTGACGTTTAGATATACAAGAACTTTTTATTATTTAGTGTTTTTACCTAACTTCTATTTTTTATTTAAGTAAATAACTTAATCAAATCAACCTGTCCATAATATCATGTATTATGTATTGGAAGTTAAATTTGTAATAAACAACAACAACAACGGCATTGACAGTTTAATAACTCACCAAACGGCACCAGGAACTCCACGAATGATCCCGTGCAATTTTCGCGGCGAAGTTTAACCTCATTTACTACACCCGTAGTACATGGAACGGTACATGATAATAAGATACCAAGCGTTGATTGGCAGAGAAATGAGTGCGATCTATTGTACATGTTATGCATAGTCATCGGAAAATTCTATATTTACTGTAGTTGTTCTTTATGTATAGAAATGGTTATTATTATTATATATAGCTAATAATGAATATATCGACAAATGACTGGCACCATTTGTATTTCTGTACTTAAGTTTGGGATATCAAGTATTACAGGGTTATCCAAATTACCGGTAAATGCGCTAATTTCTTGAGTCATCTTCATTTGACACGTGGCCTATTTAAACAAAGGCAGCTTAAATTGATCTACGGCATGATATGGCATTTTAAATTCACTCTAAAATATTCCAATCACAAATGTCTAATCTATACCAATGAAAGACGATAATTCGGTGATTATGATTAGGCCAGTCACGTGGTAATTGGACCGTCAATAGACGCTTGCCCAGTTGCCGTGTGTATTGATAGTGCTATATTGTACATACGATGAGATATTGTATAGGTAATGTATATCCTATGTGTAGTGCCTGTGACGTCACCAGCCAATCAACCGGATTAAGGTCGTAATTGAAAAATCGAAAAGCGTTTTGGCGTGTCGGATACTTAAACGTTAATAGCGGACTTAATTTTAATCAGATTGGTGTGAACTTGCCGTAAAGTTGATATAGTAACCATGGGCTATACATACATGAAATTTAGATTTTTGATCTTAAGTGGTCTTTAACCATACCCGTTTCAGATCTTCTATCTTCTCTGGCGTTCAGGGTACTGGACTCGCAACAAGAATGTGCCTAGTCCTTTGGTAGGGACTAAAAAACAAAACAAGGTCCAGTCGTGTACGTCAAATAACCCATGACATATGGAAATTGAAGAAGAATAGGTGGAAATGCTACTGTCTGGGAAAAATTATCTTAGTTTGCATGGCACATGTAACCATAGAAATAAGAAAAAGCATAATGTTTGTCTCAAAATGGCCGAAGTATTGCATTGATGAGACATTTAACCCCATTTTAATCAATTCTTTCTTCTGTGCAAACAGGAAGTTGCAATATTCATGTGGTTGGGACACTGGACTCAAATTGTGAAAAGAAATGAAATGGGCTCTAAAGTCACACTTTTCTGCACTGACTGGGCTAATGAAGCCGGGCTTACACCATGCCTTTTGCTTATTTCGAATTCCAGCTGTCATGGATTCTTATACATGCATGCCAAAGTGTAGCCTAAGTGGGACCTCTGTTTTTTGTTCCATCTGAATGACTATACATCATTATACCTTGCCAGGCCCCCCATTCTATACCACTGAAAAGGGAGAAAATCCCAATGAACTTTCTTGGCTAACCAGGTTAGCGAACCAACTTCTTACTCACTGTGCTACAATGGCTCCCTGGGCTCATATTCATAGGGGTATGTGATATTCATGTGACTAATCACAGGGTGGACAAACAAGAACCTTCAGAATTTGATGTCTACACATACTTTACATTTGAGAATATTGAGACGATGCTCTACCCACTTAATTTCTAGACTTTTGAAAGGATTTTTAAAAAGATTTGGAGTTTGGACCCGGTTTTCCTTGATGTTTGGAACCATTTGTCCTTGTCCTTAGTCGCTTTCTTATAACCAAAATGTCTTTTAATGATAGTAAAGGGTTTTCTCAGTGACGTGCCAGTAGACAGCCAAATCATTTTGATGTTACAGGTTGGCCTATATTTATACAGATAAAGTCAGAGAATCAGAAAGTTTTTCGCCACTTCCCCATAGCGACTGTGTCCTGGGCTATTTGAACCATCCTTTTATGCATGGGGATAAAGCATAGAGTGTTAGATTGCCCTAAGCTAGTGGTTTGGTGCAGTAGGTAATGGGCTTGAATCCAACAGAGGACCGACTCGAAAACTTTCTATATATAGATACCTATACTTTGACATCTATGAAGTAATCTCATTGTTTCTATCTATATGTATATATATATATATATATATATATAGATATTAAGATACAGTTAGTTAAATACAGGTAGCAGGACTATACAAATAGATAGGGCTTTCTGTTGATTACATGTGGCCTATATACAATGGCTGAATAGTGTGGTGTTTTCTATAGGGTGAAAGGAAAGGACTTTATTGAAATCTTCTGATCCATATATGATAGAGATAGATATATGTTTACTTACACTATATACAGTAAAGATTCCCATATCTCATTCAGTTATTTAGGCCAAACCAATTTAACACATTGTACCCGATAGCGAATCGATTCGCACCGGGATATTTGTTCACATTATTTTACCATTATGACAGAAAAAAGTCATACTTTTGATGAAACCGACTTTTCAATATTATTGTTAGTAATATAATTGCTACTTTATACAATTCAATTATATATCATTGAAAAGTTAAACGACAATATGTACATTTTTGTAATAAGAGTATCATTTGCTTTTTTCGGAAAATAGAAAATTGTCCACAACTCAATCCATGCTTATATATGATCAAGATACCAGTGCTAGTAAATCCCTGGGTTGAATTCAGTCACATTTACAATGGGCCCATCAAATTGGTTCACAGCAAATAAAGATGGCAGGATGCTTGTTTCATAGGGAGTAGTATGATGGATTAATGGAATTTTCAATCTGTCATATCTTTGCAAATACTGAACTGAAATGAACAATGTTTGGACCGATATTCTTATTGGAGATTCAACTTTAACAAGATTGTATTTTGCAAGGCATTCCTATAGTACTAAAATCACACACAGGAGCTTGATAAAAAAAAAATCCAGTTAAATCTCATGAATTTTAAAACATGAAAGTGGGGAACTAAAAGTATTTTTGGTTTTTGAATTATTATATTTTCCCCAGGAAATAGGACATAAAATATTAATAGGTGTTACCGAAAAACAAAGTTCAAATTGATGTAGGTGTAAGATGGTCTAATGCATGCCTTTAGATTTTAAGATCTGTCATTGAGTCAAGTGGTATTGGTTTTGTAGGTTTTCTACGGGTCATCTGGTTACCTCCAACAGCTAAAGACCTATATGAGCAAGCGAAGTATTGAAATAAAATTGAATTATGTGTTTATCCTGAAATGACCTTTGTATCAACTGGACCCTAAACCTCATTTCTCTCTCTCACTCTCTGCTTTATGATGTAAAGCCTGTCCAACCTCGTGGGTTTTCTCCGGGTCCTCCGGTTTCCTCCCACTGCTAAAGACCCCTACGCGCAAGCGGATTATTGAAATACAATTAAACCATATGTTAGTCCTGAAATGACCTAGTTTGTGTCAAGTGGCCGTTAAACCCCATTTCTCTCTCTCTTTATGATGTAAAATTCTCTCTCTCTTTGATGTGGCCTTATACTTACCATGTATACTATATGGAGTAAAGATTCTCATATATCATTCATTTATTTACCAGTCTTTTATAATATATACATTAATCTTACAGGTAATCTTACCAATATGTGTCACCATTCTATTTTAATATCTTTTCTTTATTCCTTTTCATTATAATAGTATAAATTACAAACAATACCTTCTACCATGACCAATTCTATATACCTGAGTTCTGCTTGAATACCTTGTAGTTATTTTGTACAGGTGTTTTGGAATGTTTACTGTTTGTAATAGGTATACATGTAATATACATGTTTACACACCAGGATACATTATATTATACATACGTAAACATTCTTATCTCAAACACTGCATTTACTTATGTAATTATGAACACCACAACACACATATTCTCTCAATACTTAAAGTGCTATTATCACTTTTAACAAGAAAATAAATATAACATTATATTCGAAATAACTGAAGCATTGACCTACATGAGGCAAACCATTTTGCATAAGTTTCATAAAAGTTCTTGAAATCAAGCCCACACGCATATTTGAATATTCAGATAGGAACAGTGTTTTCAAGTCTTATTTTTAGATAATTTTTGGTGTTCATTATTTGATTCTAATTTAAACCAATTCTCCTATACAGAATATAATTATTCTATAAGATCAAATCAAAAGTAAATGAATAGATAAGGAAAATATATTTATTTTAGGTTCTAGTCATTGCTTTAGAAAAATCTATCAAATTTTATAAAGGTTCACAAATTCCCAAAAGTGCACTAAAAACAAAAACAACCGAAAATTGATTATTTGAACTGAATAAGCAGACAGACATCTCCAAAGTACAAATGTTCTTTTAAGACCACTTCATAAATAAACAACATGCAAGCAGACTTGAATTTCATCAATAGATAAATGATTGCGAAATATGTCGAGATCCATCAAGATTAACTTTTTTTTTATTTGGCTTGTTTATAAGAGACATGGTTTTGATATCAAGCTTATATGTGATAAGAAGTATGGTCATCTGGTTTTCTCCAGGAGTTCCAGCTTCCTCCCACAGCTAAAGACCCCTACCCTACGCACAAGAAAATTATTGAAATAAAACTGTACCATATATTAGTCCCAAGATGACCTAGATTGTATCAAGTGGACCCACAGATTAATAAATGTCTGTAAAGAAAACTGATAAGCTTTAAGTTTCTAGCTTCTTCTTCAATAAAAACATGTCCAATTTTATTCAGTACATCAAGATTGTGACATGAATTAGAAAACATACATTGATTGACAGACAAATGTAGAAAGATTTTTATATTCACTGACCATGTCACTTGATATGACATGTGTCAGACCTCTATACTAGACACAACTCACTCATATTTATCAATATGGGGTCATCTCTGATAGGATATTATAACAATATAACAATGGATAAACAACACCTGTTTCCATGTGTTGAATACTGATATATTAAAACTGACAATTATTATTTGTTTTTTTCGGACCATATCTAATTTGTCATTGCTTAATCCATGCTAAAATATACTCAAATTAATCATCTATATAAATAAAAACAAAGATGTGTGTATATTTCACCCATCATTTCAGCATATTTTGTTTTCATTATCTTTTTTTTTCACTATTATAGCGAGAACTGTCAGCTCTTTATTTAATCTTACCTAATTATGCCCCTTTAAAGTACAGAATACCAAACTGTAATAAAACATCATTTATATTGATGAAGCACCCCTTTAAACCAAAACATTTTGATTGTGAATTGACAGGTATCCACAAATTCTTGTCTTTCACTTTGAAAAATGAAAATTTGCAAAACTCATAAGTGTCTGAATTCGAAGTGACTGCTGGTTTATTACAGACAAGCATCCAGGCAACAAAGCTGCGTGTGGGCATATGTTGCAAAAAAAAAAATCTTATCATTCATACTTTTTCATTTCTTTCAAATTTTTTTGTTCTTTTTTTTTTCAGTGATCTGAATGAACGATCTATTTTGGAAAATCTAAAACATCGCTATGCCAAAGAACTTATTTATGTAAGTAATATTGTTTTTTTTATTTATATATAAAATATTGAACTTTGTTATGTTGATCGCTTGGTTTGAAAAACATTTCTTGGTAATAAGATAACATTTCAGGATATTGAGGTCCTTATCAGCAACCAATACTTTCACTTGATTTTGAAAGGGATATGCACAATTAAAACAATTTTACCTGATAACTAAAAGAAATTTAGAGCTATTAATTTGATATTTCAAAAAAATCTTTTGCATACATTTTTTTTCTAATAAATAATACTAGTAGTCAGATTTTGATGAGACTTTTTGAAATGAAATGCAAACGGGTTTAATGTCCTGCAATCCAACCTCGTGGGTTTTCTCCTGGTCCTCCAGTTTCCTCCCACTGCTAAAGACCCCTACGCGCGCAAGCGAATTATTGAAATAAAATTAAACCATGTGTTTGTCCCGAAATGGCCTAGTTTGTGTCGAGTGGACATTAAACCCCATTTCTCTCTCTCTCTCTCTTTCTGTAACAACCTTGATAATGGCAGTGTGTTGAAAACTATATGTAATGGTTAGGACTTGTCTGTGATATACTGAAAATATGTAAAGACTGTTGTAAGGTGTAACACTAGAGCTAGTCTAATGCATACAAAAGAAGTATATGTAATGCCATAGTCATTGGTGTAATGAAAATGTATAAGTAATGGCTAGGGTAGGGTAGAGTAAACTGTACAGAAAATGTTCATATGACTAGGGATAGAGTAAACTGTACAGAAAATGTATATGTAATGACTAGGGTAGAGTAATGTGTACTGAAAATGTTCATATGACTAGGAACAGAGTAATGTGTACTGAAAATGTATATGTAATGACTAGGGCTAGAGTAAGGGGTACTGAAAATGTACATATTATGACTCCAGGGATAGAGTAAAGTGTACTGAAAATGTATATGTAATGTCTAGGGATAGAGTAAGGTGTACTGAAAATGTATGTAATAACTAGAGATAGAGTTGACATTATTGTTTAACAGGGAATGTCAGACTGGAACAGTTTCATGTGGTTGTTGTTTTTTTTTTGCATTGGATGACCATTTATTGCAAACCAAACCCTAGCTAGGATTGTTTGCTTTTTTCCTACCAGTAATTTTCCACTACTCAACAGCTGAGGTTGAAAACTAAAAAAAAAAGTAACCCCAAAAACTTACATGTAGTTTGTTAAATCATTTTTTTAGTAAAATTGATCTATTCCACCAAATATTTTCTTAACAATTTTCTTACTGAAACCAGATTCAAATTTTAACGTGGTAAACATATTGAATTTAGGCTGTTAAATTCCTGCCACATCTTATGTTGATACTATAAAATAAGTTGAGTTGAATAATGTGTGTGCTTCAGATCAATGAATCGAACCTTGTGGGTTACCTCTGCCTATTACTTGCCAAGCCCTCTATCATGCACTGTTGACAATGGTGGAATCAGGCTTGATAATCCAGAGGAACACCAGGATCAAACCCAAGCCTTCATTGAGATCTAGTATTTGAACCAGGAACTGGTCGCTAAGGCTCCATCAAGTCCAATCGACATGAAAGTTAGCATGCTTGTTCTTTGAAAAGTTCTGCATCAATTTGGTGAATTAGATTTAGGAATTTCATCCAATTACAACATGGTCAGTTCCTTGTTAATGTATGTCACAAAAAAGCAAATTTAGCCTTGACATTTTTGCAAATAATCTGGTAGGACTATAGAATATAGTACTCAATACACCTATTTCTTTGTTACCAGACTATATAATAATTTAAAAAAAAGAAAATGAAATGAAATGGGGTTTAACATCCTACTGTTCTGCTCCTATGCTGTGCTAATGAAGACAGGCATACACCATGCAGTGTGCTATGAGAGACATTTTGCCCGGACAGAGGCGCTACAGCCTACTCTTATATGAAATTCCAACTGCCAAGGGATCTTTTACATGCATTCCAATGTATACACGGGACCTCGGTTTTTCGTCTCATCCGAAGGACTAGACAGCTGTCCTTGTGAGGCCCTCCGTCCTGCATCACGGACAAGGGGAAACCACGCCAGAAAATCTGGATGAACTTTCTCGACCAATGCAGGGATCGAATTAAAGAAAAAAAAAAAAAAAAAAAATGTATAAATAAATAAGAAATACAGTAATAAATCAAATATGTTTATAAATAATCGACTTTTGTGTTGTTTAAATACTTGCTACTAGATTGTTTCTTAAAAGCAACGATAATACGTGAAACAACAGATTGAATTTTTTCTCACATATTATGAAATAGATTCCATGTTAAAACTGATGGACGTTACGTAATAAAATCAAATCAAATGAGGTTTAATGTCATACTTTTCTGCACCGACTGGGATAAAGAAGAAGTGCATATGTCATACAGTGTGCTATGATGGAAATTTTTCATGGACAACAGCCTAATCTATTTCATATTCTAACTGAAGGGTTCTTTTACATGCACGCCTTTGTGTACATGGGACTTTGGTTTGTTTTTTTTTGTTCCCATCCAAACAAATAGACACTGTCCTTGCCAGGGTCTTTGTACTGCATCATTGACAAGGGGAAACTGCACAGGAACATCCAGAGGAACTTTTTGGGATAACCCTGGGTATGAATCTTAGACCTCCTGGTTAGCGAGCCAGCATCTCACCATTGACCCACTGCGGCTCCCAAGTTACATAACTGATGCTGATTCATGCACAAGTAACCAGGTACTAAGTATAACTGCAACAATGGTAATAAAGATCAGGCTTTAATTAGATGGGGAAGCTGTGGTGGTTCAGTAAGATGTTAGCTCGCTAACCTGGAGGTCCTGTCTTCAATCCATCTGTAAGTTCATCAGGAATTTCCAGCGTGGTTCCCCCTTGTCACTGGTGTAGGAATAGTAGGATGTTAAACCCCATTTTAATAATTAGATGCTGTATTTCATTGTTATTATGTATGAAAATAAAATTTAAAATCAGTTCCATGGAGAAAATAGCCCTGTTACAAATTTAAATGGAAAGTTCCATCAAGATTGAAAAAATCTCAAAAGCTAATAAACAAATAAAAACATTTTTTTATTTTCGATTGTGTTTAAGATTCCAGTTTTTAAAGCATTATATTGACGTTCTCCGGGGATACTACTGTGTACAAATTTCAAATATCGATGAATGTTATTTGCGGTATGCATGGAAAATATTTCTTTAGAAAATGAGACAACAAAGGTAACCTATTCGTGTTTACATGAGGTGGTTTTTTATTGGACGTTGCTGATTGATTAGATAACATTAAACATACAATATTACAATATAATGGAGTTTTATCAACATTTTAAACAAATTTCATTTCTATAATTTGTTTGAAAGTAGGGTCATTAACAGTGCAAGGAAACTAATATAACTGAAATAAATTTGAATACTGTAAGGGAACTAGATATGAAAAATAACAAGGTTCATCTATTTGTATTAGGTACGAATTAAAATATTTTGTTGACACATGATTTTTCATTGTGGTCGGAATCAGTCTGCTTAAATAACGATAAGAGTTATACCTCTTTATTTTCGATTAAAATATCTGACAGGGTACAAATTTGAATATTTTGTTGACATGTTATCTTTCTGAAGTTTATATGCATTATTTAGATTACTGAAACGAAGAAGCCTATTGAATTTCGGCAATTTCCGTTTATTACGTCTAGAGTTATGGCCCTTGTTTCACTTTATGGAACCTTGTGAACGCTCTAACACCAAAAGTGATCATTCGATCTTTCTGAAATTTATATGCATTATTTAGATTACTGAAACGAAGAAGCCTATTGAATTTCGGCAATTTCCGTTTATTACGTCTAGAGTTATGGCCCTTGTTTCACTTTATTGAACCTTGTGAACGCTCTCACGTCAAAAGTTATCATCCGATCTTTGTGAAATTTATATGCATTATTTAGATTGCTGAAACGAAGAAGCCTATTGAATTTCAGCAATTCCCGTTTATTATGTCTAGAGTTATGGCCCTTGTTTCACTTTCTTGATCCTTGTGAACGCTCTAACGCAAAAAGTTAACACCCGATCTTTGTGAAATTTATATGGATGATTTAAATTATTGAAACGAAAAAGCTTATTGAATTTCAGCTATTTACAATAATTACTTCTAGAGTTATTTCCCTTGTTTCACATTGTTAAACCTTGTTAATGCTCGATTGATGATAGTTATCATCCGATATATATGAAATTTATATGCATCATTTAAATTTGTGAAACAGATCTATTGAATTTCAGCAGTTTCCGTCAATAATTTCTAGAGTTATGGCAATTGTGAACGTTTGAATGACAAAAGTGATATGTATGAAATTTATATGCATCATTTAAATTTGTGAAACAGATCTATTGAATTTCAGCAGTTTCCGTCAATAATTTCTAGAGTTATGGCAATTGTGAACGTTTGAATGACAAAAGTGATCATGTGATCTGTATGAAATTTATATGCATTATTTAAATTAGTAAAACGAAAAAGCCTGTCAAATTTTAACAATTTCTGTAGATTACTTCCAGAGTTGAGACCCTTGTTTCAGTTTGTAGAACCTTGTTAACCCTCAAAGGACAAAATTTATAATCTGATCTGTATGGAACTGTCTTGTAAAGGCAACCAATTACCTACAAAGGAATAAATATGCGACAACCCTTGACGACCGCTCGGACGATTTAGCTGCTGTGGGAGTATGTTTTGTTGCCTGGCAACCTATCTTTAATTGTGGTCTGAATCTGTCTGATTAAATAACAATATGTGTTACGCCCCTTTATTTTTTTGTAAAAAATCTCTGACAAGAAAATTTTTGAAGTAGCGACACTAGTACATGACACATTTATGTGCTCTTTAAGTATATATTTGTATTATTCATTTTTTTTAATTTTAGAAACCAGCATAGATAATCATTGTTAATACACAGGTCATAATTCCATTGAATATAATTACTTTTTATTTTTCAACTAAACTTCTTTATATAGTCTTTTTCAAGCAATACAATAAATTGCATTCCATAGAATTGTGACCTGTGTATTTCCAGTTCAGTTAGTTACTAAAATGCGTTAAAACAATTTAAACACCAATAAGATAAGGATTTTAGGGAAAGGCACATACAATAAGTGATGACCATGACAATAAGGGAAGACACTGACAATAATCGAAGATAGTGTGTTGCAATATCTTTGACATGATACCTGTATTGACCTGCCATAGATATATAACATTTGATCCATTATCTGATATTGAGCCCTTTTATCTTGGCTTGTTGACAGAAGGTTTAAATTGTTTTATTTGACGCATACCTTCCCTGATATTGGCTTTAATAATAAATAATTGACATAGTTTAATATTATTGTCCTACAAGTGCTTGTTATACGTGTACTTGACGTCATTTTCTTTGGTTTATGGGTTGGATCTTGCATTCAAAAGTTTTGTTCAATTAAATGTGCATTATGTAAGAATTAGATAAAGAGATGCTGTTCTTGTTATAATAGTTTAAAAATAGATCATAAAAAATGAATATATTGAAAATTTTAATTAAATTACTTTATTCTGAGCGAAGATATGAATGTTTGAAGTTTTGACAAGAAACTGCCTAAACACTCTTAATTATCAAATTGTCCTACCATTGCTACAAACATTTACGATATGGTGGACAATGAAAAATGAATATATTGAAAATTTCAATTAAATTACTTTTTTCTTAGCAAAGATATGAATGTTTGAAGTTTTGAAAGAAACAGCCTAAACACTCTTAATTATCAAATTGGCCTACCATTGTTACAAACAATGTCTAATTGACTCAATATCTTAGCCATCCGATGATCTAGAGAGTTGATTATGGGCTTGTCATATGAATAAATGTCTAAAAAAATAATTTCTCTTAACATTTGAAGTGAAAATAGGCAGATTTAGCTCTTACATAATACATCTTTAATTCTTACAAGCCTATGTCAATTAATTTATCATTCGTAATGGCCAGATCTTTTTAAAGAATTTCTCCTTTTCTTTCCTGATGAATGATTTCTGTCATTAAAATAGAATCCATAATAAAATATTTACTATGTAACACTTGATATACGATTGATTAATGATTTTTATTCTGGGCAGGTTGTTCTTTATTTGTTCAGGCCATCTAAATGTTTAAATATGGCCTCCCAAAAGAGCTTGTTTATATATGCGCCAGATAGAAAAAGGCTTAGGAACATTGAGAAAAACACATTAAGCGGATTAGACTTCAAGGGGGGTATGGTGGCCGAATTGTCTTACGCGTGTGTTTTATATTATAAGGTATGTCATTGAAAAAAAGTGGTTTGGTTTCAAACCAACATTTGTAGGGTTGCCTAGTTAACCTCCTGGGTTTTCTCCAGACCCATCGGTTTCCTCCAAACTGCTAAAGACCCCTAAGCACAAGCGAATTATTGAAATAAAATGGTACCATATTCTAGTCCTGAAATGACTTACAGAGCAAACATTAAACCCCATTTCATTTCATTTCTATGGGGGATGGCTGAATGGTTAGCACGTGCACACTTTATCATAAGGTCTGTCATTGAGTCATCTGGCGTGGTTTTGATTCCCCGGTTGTACGTGGCAAAGAGTATGGTCACCTGCCCAACCTCGTGAGTTTTCTGCAGGTCCTCTGGTTTCCTCCCACTGCTAAAGACCCCTATGCGCAAGCGAATTATTGAAATAAAATTGAACCATATATTAGGCCCGAAATTATCTAGTTTGTGTTGAGTGGACGTTAAACTCTCTCTCTCTCTCTCTCTCTCTCTCTCTCCTTTAAGAGACATGGAAAAAGTACTAGTCTAAGAAAGGTGTACTTTGTACATGATGAATGTCTCATCTGACATGTAGAAAAGAAAAAATTCATTTTCCCCAAAATATGTAGTTGTCATGTCAAGCTTAAAACATGTGTAGCCATTTTTAACCTCCAAATAACACAGAACAACGTAACCATATAGAGCTATTAAGAGATTTGTCAGCTTTATGTTAGAACATAACAGACACTGTTAATAAATGTTAAACGGCCACGGACAGTTTGTTAAGCAATTAGTGACATCAAACATGAACACACTTTTTGCATTAAGGCCTTGTTTACATTCGTTCGTCTGTTACACTTGTGATTTGTATCTCAGATTTCAGTAAACAAGGTTTCTTTCTCTTCTTGACTCTTGTATAATAATTTCTATTATGATGAATGAAATTGTCTAATATATTGGACAACTGGAGCCCTGTTTACAAATTGGCAAAGCATATTTAAAATATCCATTGTTTCATGTATATCGTTGAATTTGCAGGAATCGTTCCTTGGGTAAGAAACTGGTCAAAATTCAAATTTTAGTTCCCTCTTAGTCTTTACAGTCGACACTTGTGGCTTTTGGTCGGTACTCCTTCCACAGTATCCTATAGGTCAGAGTTCTCCACAGATTTTTTGTTTGTTTTGAATTTGCAGGAATCGTTCCTTGGGTAAGAAACTGGTCGAAATTCAGATTTGAGTTCCCTCATTACATACAGTCATACATTGTGCCAGCTTGCAAATGAGATACATGAAAGAGTTCTCTATGTAACTTTTAAAACCTTTATTAGCTTAAAGAGAATTTGCTTAGCAGGGTGGTTTCGAATCCCTGGTTGTACGTGGCAAGGAGTAGGGTCGCCTGTCCAACCTCGTGGGTTTTCTCCGGGTCCTCCGGTTTCCTCCCACTGCTAAAGACCCCCTATGCACAAGCGAATTATTGAAATAAAATTAAACCATATGTTAGTCCCGAAATGACCTAGTTTGTGTCGAGTGGACGTTAAACCCCATTTCTCTCTCTCTCTCTCTCTTGCTTAGCAGGATATTCTAAACATTGATCTTAAGAGTTTTCATAGATGACTTTGCTGCTGGTTAACATATTAGGGGGATTGACTAACCGTTGTATAAATTTTGAAATGAAAAAAAGGTAATCAGAAAAACAGTTGTGCAGTCAAAATTTTCTCTGACTACATTGCACACATACCCACAGATAAGAAATGTGAAATTAAGTGAGATTAAACGTACTACTGTTCTGCTCCGACCGGGCTAATGACGATGGGCATATTACATACAGTGAACTATGAGGGAAATTTTGCCCGGACAATGGCACACGGCCTCAAATTCCAACTGTCAAGGGTACTTTTACCAATGCCAATGTTTACACAGGACTTCGGTTTTCTGTCCCATCCAAATGACCATACATTGTCAATTGTCAGGCCCTCCGTCCTTGCACTAGAAGACCTGATGAACTTTCTTGATCGACACAGGGAACGAAAACAGGACCCCCAGGTTAGCGAGCCAATGACTTACTCACTGAGCCACAAAAAGAAATGTACAATATGTTAGATTCAAAGAAGCCAACAACAAAAGACTTGATTAATGAAAGAATTTTGTCCTCTCTCCCTCTTTTACTCCAGATATAAGCCAATTATAACGATCTTTTGTTTTTGTTGCAGACATATACTGGTAGTATATTGGTGGCTGTTAATCCATATCGGATGTATAATATATATGGATTGGATATGGTTAAACGATATGAAGGTAGAACCCTTGGATCATTATCCCCGTAAGTATTTATATACATTCAAGTGCTCTCCATCATATATACACCTAGTTTATACTGACCAGCTCCATTGATGGCAAGTTTTAATTTGCTATCACTGTATGCAGCCTTGACTGTTGAGGCCTTTATGGCAAAGGCAGTTCCCTTGTTCATTGTGCTTAATGTCCATTTCCATCGAGTGTAAATCACAGATAAACATTTCCTAGGAAACCTACTAGAAGAGTCAATCGTGCTTGAGAAGTTAGTTTGGCATAGGATGGGAATGGGAGGGCGAGAATGAAAATTCAGCATACTGGCAAAGGCAGAGGACTTTTTAAAGTACCCTCACCCTATTCTATTGGGAGTGATCATAATTGTTCAGGGCACTATGCAAGTAAAGCTATATCCTTTAAATAAAATCAATGGAACTATTACAGTGAACAGTTTGTTTTTTCCTTGTAAAAGTTAACTAGTATTATTACTAATTGTCATATTTATTGCTTCTACATTGTAAAAGAAGGCATAAAAACTACATTAACTCTTTGAACAATATATGTAGTGGCTGGTTGTAGTACCAACAATACAAGTGTCCGGTTCTGGCAAAGATGTTCAATTGGTTACGCCGAAACATATTCAATTGCATTCTGAACAATCTTCATTGCTCGGTTTTAAATTATGCAAAGAAACATTAATTGAATGTTTGAAGATTGACTTCTCTTTCGAAGAGTAGACTGACAGATACATTATTCAGATGAGTTAGAATAAACTTAAAGATGGAAGTTATAGCTTTTATTTGTATAATGCTACTGAACTCAAGGGGGATCAATAGAAAATGTTTCTAGAAACAAAACGACACCAGAAGAACTTAGAAAACAATTGGATTTAAATTTTATTTGCCTTGAGCTTAATCCTTATAAATTCTTCAAACTATCTTGTGTTACGGTGGGAATACTTGAGAACACGACTGAGTATTGTTTGAAATAGTCATTGTTTTCAAATCTTTAAAGAACTTGAATTTTTTTACACTTGAATAGTGAGGGGGAAACAGATTTGTGGGAAAGGATATCTCTGTATAGAATAATAGTTTCTTTCCACTTCTTTTCTGGTACTGAAATAATAGCAGTTTTGGCAAAAGGTGGTATACTTAAGAATACAGAGTCGTAGCATCCAGGTTTGCAACAAACGTTATGAATTACACAATCATATTAGAAAACATTTTTGGCACTTGATTTTCCTTTCTTGTTTTAAGTGAATATTAAGAATATTTCTGATAATGTCTGATTTTTTTCATTCAGGTCTAGTCTTCTTTTGATGTCAGATCCTTGTTTTAAATCATGTATTAAGACTATGCATGATGTTGTGAAAGTTGAATCTGTAATAGGAATATCTGTCCCTTTCAGTATTTATCAATCTATGCTGCTCCCTATATTATGTAGCAAAACAGATGCCATCTTTCTTTGTTGTGAATCAAATTGATGGGTCTGTTTTAAATCTGATTGAAACAAGCCAGGCGATTATTTCGCATTGGTATCTTGATTTTGTTTTCTTAAATAAATGTTAAATGATAAATCTGAGAGAAATTTTATATTTTCCAAAAGTTCAAATCATGCATCGTTACTTTAAGACTTAAAAACTTGAATATGTAAGAAGATTATAGAGGCTTCTTCTACGGCATAAGTACGATCTCTGATCATAAAAACTGAAATAGCCTTCTTAACCTTTTAAAAAATTTGGTATGCAAACCAAAAGTTTAAAACTTGTTCAACATTGAAGTGAAATTTTTGGTTAAGGGCAAAGTAGGGGAGAATTTTCTTTTTAACGGCATTATTGCCGTTCTTGAGGTAACAAGAATGGGCTTAGTTTAACTGTCAATCGTTGGATTTGTTCAGCGAGACACAAGTCAATAAGAATGTGGTTCAATTGTTAGTTTAGATGGCTGCTAGATTGACTGATAGAGCCCCTGTATCACATGCCTGTATTTTAACAGTGATTTGTGTCTGCTTAACAAGTAAACATTGCTCAGGTGTGAAACAATAAAAATACTTGTAACTTCTTTTAAAAACATGATTGGGTCAAAAGTCAAAAATAGAATAGAATTTACTCGAAAGTTGTCTAAAGAAAATGCCCTAAATGCACTAGTAGAAATGTCATTCAAATCTTATATAAGTAAAGACAGTTAAAGCTTCTGATTGTTATTTACAGTTTTAAAGTCACATATATGTTGTAATCCTTTACATGCTACAACATTGTGAAAGTAGAATCTCTGAAAAGAATATCAGTCCAAAAATGATTCAATGGCGTTTAAACAAGATATGATGAATTGAAAATTTGTCAGTACCATAAGGGGATATGGTCAAAAGAAACCAGCTTTACCTTCACCAATTATCTTCCCTGATATCTTTTAATAGTCCTTTTTCTAATCTCAAAGCTGATAGATTGTCTACCATTGGAATTTTGATTTTGTTTTCTTAATCAAGTGTTAAAGACTCAATTTGAGTACATTTATTCTTGATTAAGCTCTCTCTCTCTCTCTCTCTCTCTCTCTCTCTCTCTGACATGGTGAAGAAGATTTTAAATACTGGTAGGAGGACAAAAATATATTCTAGATTTACTGTCTGTTTATTTATTTATTTATGATAATGTTTGTTGTTATGGCAACATGTAAACAACATTTCAAATAAACTATGGTAGTCTAGAAGAAAAAGCAATGGTTAAGAAAAGCTGATGAGATACAAAAAAATATAGAAAAATATGTAATTGAGTACATTTTGAACATATACTATTTTTCTTTTCAAAACATTGACATATTTAAAATGATCAACAAATACAATGTTAATCTTTTAGAGGCATATAAAAAAACTGGATAGAGCAATAAACAATAAGACATACTTATAGCATATTAATTACTGATTTATTTTGGTACCCTTTCGAAGAATATTCTTTCAGCTCTGTGACAAATGTGTGGCGCAATTATATATAGACAAAAAAAAAATATATAGACAAGCAACAAAATGTTGTCCTCCTGCATGGTTTCTCATTTGATGTTATTGCTTGTCCATAAGTAATTGCTCTACACATTTGTTACTGTACTTGCTTGAAAATGTTGAAAAAATATATACTCTTGGAAACGTTTCCTAAGTAAATTATAGTGATTGTTCTTCCATAATTATATGTTATAGTTTATAACAAATATGTTCAATGAAATCTGACCTGGCTTGTCTGACTGTAAAACCTTGAATTTCTCATTGATTATATCTGAGTGGACAGATATTTTTAGCATTTAATAATTTCTTGAATATTTTATGGCTATTCTATTAATAAAATTTCATATGAAATGAATCATATTTTTGTTGCCTGATCAAAGTCATTAAATTCCTGTCTAATATTCCTAATAGATAGATTGCCATTTGTATTTAATCTCCTTAATCAATTAAATTTCCTTAATGTTTATTGCATTAGTTTGAAATCAGTTATTCTGATTACCTATTTGTACTAGTGTAGCCCGAATGGGGTGGGGAAAGAGGATTAGGAAACAGAGGTATCTTAGAGGCTTTAACACCTTCTAAGGACAGAGTTAAGATTACCATGTGTTTGGAGCTGATCAACATGTCATACATAATACTCCATTTCATACATTCTTTCTAAGGACAGATATGAAGAACATGGTACCAATAAAATTTTCTATTACCGTGCCAACAGTCAAGTCCACCTGATCAAAATCATGGCCTGTTTTTAATGTTTGTTTCATTTACATTAGACATCTTTTTATTTAATATTTCACTTACATTGTTGAAAGTTTATGGCATGTTTATAATTCTTATTATTATTTACATTAATGAATATTTCAGGCATCTTTTCGCAATTGCCAGTACAGCTTATTCCCAGATGATGAAAACTTCGGAGAACCAAGTTATAGTTATCAGGTAATATATTTTTATTTGGCCATATTTCTTGTGGATATATATTGAATGTATATTGTCATCACCAATGTTTGGTGATCCATCCAACTTTATTTGTAAATGCGTTACACACGAGAGTTCTAATTGTTGGATATTTTTCAAGTTTTCACTTGATTGTAAAGAAGAACCATATTCAAAATTGTTGAATGTGTTACGCAGAGTTTTCTCTCTGTTCATATGTTTACCATTAAAGTTTTTGAACTTTATAAAGAAAAAAATCTATTTTGTTACCGAATCACAATTAAGACAGCAATTGGCCAGACTCTGTCTAAATATGACTCTGCCTTAAACTATCCGGGGGGTTGGGTAGCCGAATGGATCATAAGGTCTGTCAGTGAGTCAAGTAGCATGGTTTCGATTCCCCTCTTGTACGTGACAAGGAGTAGGGTCACCTGTCCAACCTCATGGGTTTTCTTCAGGTCATCCGGTGCCCTCCTCCCCCCACTGCTAAAGACCCCTAAGTGAATTATTGAAATAAAATTGAACCATATGTTATGGGCCTGTCATGTGAATAGATATCAAAATAATAATTTATAAAACATTTGAAGCTAGAAAAGAGGCCTGCAATAGGCAGATTTAACTCTTGCATAATTTATCTTTAAGTTGATTTTAATTTTAGAGAAATATATGCCAGTTATATGAGGTTCTATGTTTATATTTCAGCGGAGAAAGTGGTGCTGGTAAAACAGAAAGTACAAAACTTGTGATGCAATATTTAGCAGCTGTAAATAAATCAGGCAATAATTTAATAACAGAACAAATTGTAGAAGCCAATCCTTTACTGGAATCATTCGGAAATGCAAAGACTATCAGGAACGATAATTCCAGTAGATTTGGAAAATATATTGAAGTTTTCTTTAAACGGTAAGAATACATGTATTTGCAGTTTTGTTTCGGAGAAGACAATAATGGAAATCTACGTTTATTTCAAATTCCAACGGTAATGGGGTCTTTTATGTGCTCACCATTGTGTACACAAGACCTCAGATTTTTGTACCCCCCCCCCCCCCCCCGAAGGACTAGAAGTAGATTAGTTTCTCATATTAAATTAATTTGAATGGTTAACACCGGTGTGCACTAAATTGCAACTAGAATTTAATTCATTGTTTAAAGAGGTATTACCACTTTTGGACAGGAAAAATAAATGTCATTGACTCTTTTTAACATTAGAGCCTTGTAGAATAATACAAAAGGATATAAACATTGAAAACTTTTCAAAATAACAATAGATACTACTCAATTTTAAAGATGCATATACATGCATGTGTTGCAAAAACACAATTCCATTTGAAAGAGGGGGGTTGGATGGCTGAATGGTTAGCGTGCGCGCGCTGTATCATAAAGTCTGTCATTGAGTCGACTGGCGTGGTTTCGAATCCCCGGTTGTACGTGACAAGGAGTAGGGTCGCCTGTCCAACCTCGTGGGTTTTCTCCGGGTCCTCCAGTTTCCTCCCACTGCTAAAGACCCCTATGTGCAAGCGAATTATTGAAATAAAAATTAAACCCTATGTTAATCCCGAAATGACCTAGTTTGTGTCGAGTGGACGTTAAACCCCACTTCTCTCTCTCTCTCTCCATTCGAAAAATGTTGCTTTTTTGCGGCCATATAACATTAGATGTTTAGGAATTTATTTATACAGTAATTTGCCTAACCATGAACCACGCTATAGTCAGGTCACAGTTTGTTGAATATTATTTAGCTTTCAATTATGTGGATTTCTGTATATTTTTAGTGGATCAATGGTTGGAGCTCGAACTCAAGAATATTTACTTGAAAAATCAAGAATCGTCAGTCAGGTGTGTATGCTTTATTACTTTAACCATGCTTTGAAATAACGTTTTTTGTCATTGCCGGCATCTTTAGCTATGTGCCTAACATATATTACAAATACATAAATAAAAATAATGAAAATAGTCAAATTCTGAGTTTGTGCCTTTCTTGGCTTTAAGCCAAGTTTGATTGTGGTGTGATTAGTCTATGATGGAACTTTGGCTCCATATAGATTCTATATTTTGCAGGTTATCAAAATCTTTGTATGTGAAACCTTAAATATTTGTCTGTCATTATCTAACCCACTCAATGTCTAAGCCATCAGCTGATCTAAAGAGTTGATTATGGGTTTGTCATGTTAATAAATGTCTAAATGATAATTTATATGACATTCAAAGCCAAAACAATTCCCAGCAAAAGTAAAGTTTAGCTCTCACATAATGCCCCATTAAATATTTAAGTCAGCACCACCTAATAGAAAACACCGTAAATATTCGTCTTGGCAATGGATCTGCTTCTCACAAGAATATCTGTTTTTATCAATACTATTTATTGATTTTATCTGGGGTGATGAATATTATTGAAAGCCGACGTATAATTGCGTGTAATCTATGGACAAATAAATAGATAATCAAATCACTCAGGTGTATCAGTAACTAATACAGAAAATTCTACCTGTAATTGATTTATTGATCTGTAATATCTTCCTCATTATTTGTTCTTCTTTTAACAAATAACTATACCATGATATACGTACATAACTGTATTAATATCATTCATACTAGGGTGTCACAGTGGCTCAGTGAGTAAGACTTTGGCTCACTAACCTGAAGGTCCCATGTTTCAATCCCAGAGATTTTCCAGCCTGGTTTTCCCTTGTCTGTTGTGCAGGACAGATTCGAGGTTCTGACAAATAACTGCGTCTAGTTATTTAGATGGGACAATCGAGTGCATCAGACAGTAACTAATACAGAAAATTCCACCTGTATTTTTCTTATTGATTTATTGATCTATGTTCTTCTTTTAACAAATAATTACACACTGATATCAATATATAACAATATAAACATCATACCAGCCAGTTCAAGTAAAACCTAGACGATACTCGATGGGGTCAAACAAACCGTGAAAAAAATAAGTGCTAACTGTAACTGATTAGAAATATTTCCACCAGTCATCATAGTTGAAATATGTCAAAATCGAAGTTTGAACTTAAGTTTACACCATTACCTTTGGGTCCTCCAATTTCCTCCCACTGCTAAAGACCCCTATGCACAAGTGGATTATTGAAATAAAATTGAACCAAATTGTAGTCCCGAAATGACCTAGTTTACATCGTCGAGTGGACGTTAAACTTCATTTCTTTATCTTGTGTGTTTGTGATTTTCATCGAGCCTCCATTGCTGAATGAGTAAGGTGTTGGAGTTGGACCACTAATCACTATTTAAATTTTTTTTGCAGGCAACAGATGAAAGAAATTACCATGTATTCTATGAAATGTTGTCGGCCATGTCAGATGAAGAAAAGAGTAAATATGGTTTACAATCGGCACCGAAATATTTTTATCTCAATCAGGGAGGTGATGCAAGTATTCCTGGAAGAGATGATGCAGAAAACTTCCGTAAAATGAAAGCAGCCATGGATGTATTAAATTTTGACAAATCTGAGAGAGAAACCGTTTACAAAATTCTTTCCTGTGTTCTCCATATTGGAAATATTTATTTTAAAAGTGATCAGGTAAAAATAATATGATTTATATACAATATTGGATTTGATTACATGTAGATGTTCTAAGGGAGGGAAATAAAGGAGCAGGAAGCAAACAAGATCAGTTACCACTAGGTTGCGTGGTCAATAAGACTAGCTGGGATTCCTTAATTAGGAAACTGTATCCCTATATTCCAGTCTGCCTAGCTTTAATTAGGTACTGATAGGATAGTGCGAGGCATTTTTAATTCAGCATGAAAAATCATTATTTTACAGAGAAATGACCTCTCAAAGGAGCATGGGAGGAAATTAAATCTCATTATGGAATGTAAGTCATCAACGTTTTCCAGAGCAGGATGAAAAAGCATTAAATTTACAATTCAAATCGGAGAATTGTGTAACGCATGTACTTTAGTTCTTATGGTCTTTCATTGAGTCAAGTGGCTTTTTTTTCGTCCCACACTTGCATTTGTGACCTCAAGGATTTTCTCTCGGGGCCTTCGGTTTCCTCCCACTGCTGAAAATCCCTACTTAATATTGAATTAAAATTATACCATTTGTTAGACCTGAAATGGCCTAGTTTGTGTTGAGTGGACATTAAACCACATTTCCCTCTCTCACCTTTCAAATCTGAAGAACACAAGCAATGTAGTTAACAATGGCATCATCTTCAAACCTCACAAATTAGAAACAGTATATGTAAAAATATCAGTAATATTATGCAAGATTTACAAATGTATTTTTATTTATAGAGTGAAAATCATGACAATACTGTAGAATTAGGAAGTGAAGCGGAAATAAAATGGATATCATATTTATTACAATTATCGGAAGACTGGTTAAAACAAGCACTTATTAGTAAAGTTACTGTAAGTTCATGAATTTTTGTTTAACAGAAGTTTTTTTATGAAAAGAAAATCATAGTTCCTGGGTTTACCATTGACAGTTTCAAATTGAAATAAGAGAAAGCAATCCTCTGGTGTCTGGGCAAACTTGCCCTCATAGCACACTGCATTGTATATACCCATCTTCATTATCCTGATTGTCATTGGTGCAGATAACTACGACATTAAGATTCGTTTCAATTATGAAACACATGTTTTAAGTTTTCTAATGAAACATTTTATTTAAGACAAGCTTTAATGTAAAGAAACAATAGTTTAATTATGAAATGATATAGCCGCTTCTTGACCATTTCTGAACATTTCAAACCAAATATTGAACGATTTGGAAATTACCGCTGCAGAGTTACGTAACTCAATTGTATAATTACTTACACAGCATTGAAATTGGGAACTTATACCCAACTCCAGGGGGAAATTGAAAGTCTGTATTGGGTGGGAGGTTTGGTGGCCAATTGGGCTAACATATACGCTTTATATCATAAGGTCTGTCATTGATTCAAGTGGGAAGGTTTTGATCCTACAAAAGGAGAAGGGTTGCCTTACTAACCTTGTGGTTTTTCTCTGTGTCTATGGTTTCCTCCCACTGCTAAAGACCCCAACAAGCAAGCGAATTATTGAAATAAAATTGTACCATATGTTAGTCCCAAAATGACCTAGTTTGTGATGAGTCGACATTAAACACCTTTTCTCTATCTCTGTCTTAGCGTAAATGTTTGCAAGAGTCTTTTGCCCAGAATTAAGCAGCTTTATTAACTAAATCATGTTTGAGTTTGCACCTAAGTACTGTACATATATGAAACAATTTATTTATTACGTTTTTATTTTATATTATAGGAGGCTCGAGGAGATAAAGTTTATACACCATATAATTTAGATCAAGCTTTAGATGCCAGGTAATTCATTTTCATTACTAAATATTATTGACTTGTTTTACATAGAGGAAACCATGGTGCATCTATTAACTAACCATCTATATTAGGCAACTGCATTCAAGATTTTGTGGTTGTATTTGTTTCAGTCTTACTGACAATGAAATGATATGGCCTAAAATATTTACATACATAGACTGCGTATCAACTTCGAAGATGGACTGCACTATTACAGTCTGTATTTCTCAGGGTGTTTCTTTCTGATTTCAATGTTTTTATGACCAGAATTTGAATTTAATAAGAGTGATCTCATATGCACATTAGGTCATAGGTCAAATGGCTTGATTTCATTCCCATGCTTGTACATGACATGGAGTAGGGTTGCCTGCCCAACCTCGTGGGTTTTCACTGGGTCCTCTGCTTTCGTCCCACTGCTCAAGACTGTTAGTCCTGAAATTAGTTGTGAACGAATGGACATTAAACCTCATTTCTCCCTCTCTGACTGGAATTTAATATTTTTGTTTATTTCCAGGGATGCCATTTCTAAAGCTTTATATACCCGTTTATTTACTTGGTTAGTGGAGAAAATTAATGCAGTAATCTGTCGTGCTGAACGAGACAAATCAACCTCTTTAGCTGTACTAGATATCTTTGGTTTTGAGGTACATTATTTGAAATATACTTTAACTTAATTTAAATTTGACTAAATTGTATTCTCAATGAAATTAAAGATCAAAATACTGCTTTATAAACAGACCTGGCCACGAGTCTACAAAGCATTCTCAGAATTAAGTAAAGAATTTAATCAAAATTGTTCGCCTTATTTTAACTAAAATTTAGCAGTTTATAAAACTTTTGTTGTTTTAATGTACCAAATGACTCGTACATCAATAAGAAACTGTAAAGTTTTCTGTTTTTGGATCAAAGATATTTCTCATGAACAGTGATTGAAAATTGAGTAAATACTTAACTCAAGTCTGAGAATGCTTTGTGAACTCAGGCCAGGAAATAATGGTGTTTAGATGTACCTGACAAAACATCAGACACTACCTAGAACCTGATATTTTGAACTATATGCTGGGCATGTATTAATATCAATAACAACACAGACAAAATGACAAGCACTAGTGGGGTAATAATGAATGGTCTCAAAAACAAATAGTCAAATGAGAGGTTATTGTAGAAAAATCTTTGTTTTATATATTAGATTAGTGAGAGAGACAGTCTTGTGGTGGTGTTGTGAAATAGATTTATTTAATGCTAGCTTCCACCAAGGTGATATTGTAGATAATGTCATTACAGAGAATGTTCCTTGTTAATTATGGGGAGAAAATGGAGCGACCAAGTACAATTTTGTGCCACATAAAATGGCTATCAATTTACAAACAGTAAAAACATGACAGATATTTCTATTTTGAAATGTCATCAGTTGCACAAACAACTACCAGAAAACATCATTAAGATTTTTATTAAAAAATTACCTTCATGGAATTGGTAAAAACAAAAATTACATTTCCTAAATCATTTTTAGTGCATTATCTCCCCTTATATCTTTTGACCATTCTTATGATATGTGCATGTAATGTTTTAAAATGTCAGATCTACCCAATTCAACAAATATTTAACCTAAATCAAAGCAATTTAACTTCTTTAATATTGTATTTGTATATTCCAGGACTTTACAACCAACAGTTTTGAACAGTTATGTATCAACTATGCCAATGAAACTCTACAGTATTTCTTCAATCAACATATATTTCGACTAGAACAGAAGGAATATATTAAAGAAAAGATACGATGGAATCACATAGAATTTAAAGATAATCAGCCCACTATAGATTTAATCGCCACTAAACCTGCTGGTATTCTACATATACTGGATGATGAATCAAACTTTCCTCAGGTACAATTCTCTATCAATTTTCAGTTTCGAAAAGATTCATAGAGTTTTATAATTGAGCAGTACTTCTTTATCAATTCCCAGGTGTTTTATAGAGTTTTATAATTGAGCATGCTAAAAAACCTCATGTAAAATACAGTTTTGACTAATTTGGTTTTGCAGATTTTAAGTGTTATTCATATTTTCTTTCATTAAAAAATATCTCATTGTATGACATAAAACATTGTACATTTCAATTACATTTTAGGGAATCTCCAAAAATTCCAACACTTACGACCAAACGAATAACCCGCAAAACTGTCTGGGTTGTTTGAACAAACATTAAATGTCTGTTATTATTGAATCATGAATGGAAATCTATACTAATATTTGTGACTGGCGTTTGTCTGTTTGTGCAGCGCCGGGTCATCCGCTTGTATATCAATATTTTCTAATTCCGTCCATGCGTATTGGCAGGTGGATGAGTGGATTGAGATCTTTGCGTCGGTTATTCGTTTGAACGGTCCCTTAGAATCAGTTTGGATAAAACAACTGAATAGATAATGCATGTTTTAGATTTGATACTGATGATAATTTATTTCAATGGATAGGTATTCCTATTATCTGTTGTCAATAAATAAAAATATATTTAATCTTTATAATTACAGGCCACTGACCAGTCTTTCCTAGAGAAATGTCATTTCCACCATGGAAATAATTCCTTATATAGTAAACCAAGAATGTCTGGTCCAGAATTCTCCATCACACATTATGCTGGAGATATTAAATATGATGTAAGTTAGACTAGTTTTTTTTTTTTAGAGTAAAGTGTTGGCCGAGAAAGACCTCTGAGTTTTCCAGTATGGTGCTGGATGGAGGGCCAGGGCCTTATTCACGAAAACTTAAACTAAGATACAATCGAAATTTTAAGAAATACTGCAATTCGATTGGCTGACCAGTAAAATCAATTTGCATATATCCAATTTGCATATTGGTCAGCCAATCGAATTGCAGTATTTCTTAAAATTTTGATCGTATCTTAGTTTAAGTTTTCGTGAATAAGGGCCCTGGAATGGAACAGTGTCTAGTCAGGATATGCTGGGGAGCACATAAAAGAACCCTTGACCATTGGAATTCGAAAAACCGTATTACAGTTGTCCAGGCAAATTTTCCTCCTAGCACAATCCATGGCGTATGCCTGTCTTAATTAACCCAGTTACTGTAGGACATTATACCTCATTTTATTTTCTATTTTATTTATTTTTTCATTAGCATTTCCAAATATTAATCATTGTTATCCTTATAGGTTACTCATTTCTTAGAGAAAAATAAAGATACGTTACGTAGTCATGTGGTGGAACTGATGTGTGAAAGCAAAAACCAGGTAAAATTTATTTATTGTTGCCATAATTATAACGATAAAAGCAAATATAAAAATGAAAGCAAATATATTCAATCAATTTTTGTTGAAAATGATAATATTTTTATTTGATTTCTGGATCAGATTTGAATAAAGTAATACAAAATCACAATTTATGTTGGGTAGCCACGGGGTTGATCCCTGTGTTGGCAGAGAAAGTTCCCTGGGATGTTTCAGCTAATTTTCCATTGAAAATTATACAGGACATAAAGTCTGGCAGTAAACAGTATCTATTCGTTGTAATGGGATGCAAAACAAAGGACCTGTGTACATGTAAGAACCCCTGACAGTTGGAATTTGAAATGCGAGTAGGCCCTAGCACGGCTGTCTAAGCAAAATTTATGCAAAAATTAAGTAGGACATTGAATCCCATTAAATTTGAGTTCAGTTTATGTTAGGTAGAAGTAACCACCTCCTGAATCTTCCTATATACTAATCATTGTTGGTTGCTATAGAAATATAATTAATCTTTTATTTTTACGTTGTTTTTTTCGTCTCTAGATAATATCTCAGATGTTTAAAGATATGCGAGACCGTCTGATAACTAAAACATTAAGCAAAACAACTGGTAGATATATCACATTAAAACCAAAAACAGCAACCGTGGCAGCAAGTTTCGGACAATCACTGCTGTCTCTTATAGACACCATGACAAGGTTTGTTCCACTAGTCATATTTTGTTTATACAAAACATCTCCATTATTTTTTTTGTTTCTGGATTATGCTAAATAGCTTTAACAGCCCATTTCCAGTTTTACACCATTGTAATCATAAATAGCTAATAAAATGTGCATGTTACAACTAGTATTTAATTCTCAAGTAATGGTTAGCACGCGCGCGCTGTATCATACGGTCTGTCATTGAGTCAGCTGGCGGGGTTTCGATTCCCCGGTTGTACATGACAAGGAGTAGGGTCGCCTGTCCAACCTCATGGGTTTTCTCCGGTCCTCCGGTTTCCTCCCACTGCTAAAGACCCCTACGCGGAAGCGAATTATTGAAATAAAATTAAACCATGTGTTAGTCCCGAAATGACCTAGTTTGTGTCGAATGGACGTTAAACCCCATTTCTCTCTCTCTGTCTGTCCAACCTCGTGGGTTTTCTCCGGTCCTCCGGTTTCCTCCCACTGCTAAAGACCCCTACGCGGAAGTGAATTATTGAAATAAAATTAAACCATGTGTTAGTCTCGAAATGACCTAGTTTGTGTCGAATGGACGTTAAACCCCATTTCTCTCTCTCTCCCAAGTAATGCATTCTGTACATGTTGCTGGCCATCGTTAAAGAAGCCATAAACAAGTTACGAAAAATGACATCAAATACAATGTATTTTAGATGGTAAATTAATCAAACAACATGAAGTAGATAATGGGTAGCTGTCACATGGCATACATATCGTTTAAAGATTTTGTTGCCCATATTAACACAAAAATCAAAAGAAATTGAACTAAACTGTCTCATTTCTTGCTTATAGTAATGTTAAATTTACAGCAGACCAATTATCACTTGTCTGTAATGGGAAATAGCAGACAAAGCAGACCTTTTCTAAATTGGTGAAGGATTAGATGTCTGATTGGTCTAACCTGTGCACTTTAGATCATAAGATTTCGATCTCACACTTCTCTGAGACAAGGAGTAGGGTTGCTTGTGGGTTTCTCAGGGTCGTCAAGGTTCCTGCCTCTTCTAAAGACCACTACTATATATTAGTCCCAAAATGACCTAGTTTGTGTTGAGTGGTTGAGTGGACATTTAGTTGGTATGTTAATATTCTCTGGGCTCCAATGACCATTTATAGAATTTATAAATTGATTGCCCATGTCAACTGTGCAGAATAAGTGGGAGTAAATATATTGTGACTTATAACATTATATGACCAACACTTATAATAAATTCATAAACTAACCTCATGCGATGTTAATTTCACGGTTTTGTGCTTTAGGTGCAATCCATATTTTGTGCGATGTATTAAACCTAATACAACCAAGACACCGATGAAGTTTGATGATAATGTTATATTAACACAACTACAGTATACTGGTATGATGGAAACTGTAAGAATTAGAAAGATGGGGTTCCCTATTAGAGTCAAGTTTCCTCATTTTATAGAAAGGTTAGTTCTCTTTCTCAACATAAGATTTGTTATCATTTTATAGAAAGGCTAGTTCTCTTTCTCAACATAAGATTTGTTATCATTTTATAGAAAGGCTAGTTCTCAAACTCATCATAAGATTTGTTATCTTTTTATGTGAAAATGCATCGACATATTTGATATTATGCGAGAAACCGTCTACATATTTGATTTAATGTGAAAATGCAACTAGATATATGGATTTATTTTTGATTAAAGAGACATCAAATTCAAAATATCATGATTTTGGCTCGAAAATAACAATAATTTGTATTATTTTTCAGGTATCGTTGTTTACTAAAAGGGGCTAAATTACCTGCCCGTGAATTACCAAGTGAAGTTTGTGCCAAGATTTTATTAACTCAAGGTCCTCTTCATGCTGAACAATATCAAATTGGTGCTACAAAGGTAATTACTTCATTAAATATTTATCACTTCTAAAGAAATGCTAATTTTCAAATCTCAAAAATCAAGATATTAAATGCATAATTTGAATTTTGTATAATAATTTTATAATAATCAAAGAACCCTTGAAAGTTGTATTTTGAAATAAGAGTAGGCCGGAGCGTCAATGTCCGTGCAAAATAAAATTTCCCTCATTAGACACGGCATGGTGTATATTTGTTTTCATTAGTCCAGTTGCTTCAGAAAAATAGGGCGTTAAACTTAATTTTATTTAATTTAGTTACAACACTCTCCTGGGGGGGGGGGGGGGGGGTCTGAATGGTTAGCGCGTTGTATCATAAGGTCTGCCATTGAGTCAACAGGCTTAGTTTCGATTCCCGGGTTGTACATGAAAAGGAGTAAGGTCGCCTGTCCAACCTCATGGGTTTTCTCCGGGTCCTCCGGTTTCCTCCCTCTGCCGAATTATTGAAATAAAATTGAACCATATGTTACCTAGTTGACCTAGTTTGTTGAGTGGATGTTAAACCCCATTTTTCTCTTTCTCTCTCTACACTCTCCTGTGCCACCTTAAAAGTGATATATGGTTAAGACCCCTGGGCCTCTTAATTTGAGGCTATTACCTGTAAACAATTGTTATGATGTTTTGATATGTTAATTTACTGTTATGTTGACATATTAATGTGATGGATGACATAAACACCTATACATGGCCTACCTATGGTCATTATGTCTATTTATATGATACATGTCAAATCTTGTTGAAGGACAATTAGGCTAATTATATGCCGAAATAAACGTGACATATGTAATGATATTTTTGTCCCCCTTATTTCCAGTGTATATTGTTGACTGTCTCTTCATCCACAATGCTTTAAAACTTACTAGGATATTTTTGACTGAATTAGGGACTTTTGACACCAAAATGTGAAAGCCATTCTCCAAAATACCTTGTCTAACAGTGTTATGTTGCAGTATTTGAATGAAGCATTTAAAATTTACTGAATGTTGTAAACTTTATAAAAAATATTTATAAATGACAGTTGACACATGTCGAAAAACAAATCTAAATATTTGATTTAATTTCACAATGTCTTATGGCGTATATAATATTGTATTGTCTAAACTGATCCTTTATGAAACAGGACATCATTTTTTCAACTTAGTAGTATGACGTTTGAATACTGAAATTTACATATTAAAAATCTTATGGATTGAAATTACATATTAGATATATCTGTGAGTTTTGTTTGACTGACATTTATAACTCACTATAGCGTTTGATATGTGGTTTAAATGCTGACGTTTACATCTGACAAATTGAAATTGCATGTTTGATGTATGTATATATTGTATTGTTTAACTAATCGTTTATAAAAAACGATAGCGTTTTCTCAACTTAATATGAGATTTAAATGTCGATGTTTACATCTTAAGAATTGAAATTTCATATTTGGTGTATCTGTTGGCATTGTATTGTTTGACTGATCATTTATAACCCACGATATCATTTTGACGTTTACATCTCATGAATCGAAATTGCACATCATGTCTCTGTATGTGCACTTGTCAAAATATCTGTGACATGAAGAGACTAGGATGTTCTACATTTAAAATAGAAAATCCGGTGTAATTTGTATATAAAGATATATTATAGTTAAATTGACTAGACAATTGTCATGTTACTCCCTCTAGCTTGATAGATGACCTGATTGACTTACTTCAGCAGTGATGAATGGTTCTCTATTACCACACACATGTAAACCTCTAACTCTTGGCTTATTGTAGTCCATGAATTATTCTCTTGTCTTTATTTCGGATTCCAGTCAAATTATTTCCTTTTATCAGAGCTATTGTTTGGACTATTTCTGTGGATATTAAACAAGGGAGGTGGTTGACTTATGTGAAAGAGAAATCGTAATGTTTCAAAATTCTTGAAAATATAGTGCAGGATTTTTAATCGATCAAATAGTTTTAATTGATTCCATGAAATTTTTCCTGGCGTCCAACAAAAATGTATTTCGGAGATGACATTTCTTTGACTGAATCGGAGCACACCAAACATAAAGTGCAAAAATATTTGAATTCTTTGCCCAAATCTTTTATAACGATGTGCAAAAGTCGGGTTGAGGAGGACATGCATCCCAGACCAGATTATCCTCCAATAGATACGGATTCTGTGAATTTAAAGATTGATATGTCTTTTGATTCTGATCAACGATTTTACACTAATGTAGTTATAAACGAAGACCTGGTTAATCAAGGACACGAAGATGGAATCTCCGATATGGTTATAGACAAATTTCCAGAAATCAAACCAGTGCATAAAATGGCCAACATAAATACCGATTTTTTATCCAGAATGAAGGGAAATTTAAAAAGACATTCTTTACCGGAACAATTGGTGTTTTCTCCACATGGACACAGAAGGTCTGATAATTTTCTTGCTGTTCCACCACAAAGGAGATTGTCCATGACATCGCATTTATCTGACAATACATATCACAGTATCCATAGTTACGATATCCTCTCCTCAAATCGCTTAATAGCGTCCAAATCACTTCCAAATACTCAAAAAGTTGAAAGAAGTTACGACTCTTGTCGAGATATTTATGATAACGCTTCCTTACATTCTCAGGTTTTTATGAAAGAAGAATTCGAACATCATATTGATATTGAAGCAGCTAAGATTATGAAAGATGCTGTGATAAGAATACAGAAATGTACAAGAACTTTCTTAGCTAGGAATCGCTTCAAGAAATCAAGAGGCGCTGCCACTAAGCTTCAGTCTGCTTTTCGTACATGGAAAGCCAGGTAAGCCTTCAAAGCATTTTCTTTTATTATTTGAGCTATAAATATCTCTATCTATAAAGATTCATCATGTAAGATTTAGATAAAGAACTGGCCATTCTCACTATAATAGTTCATAAATATGAAAAATGAATGTATTGAAAAGTTCAGTCAAATTATTCATTTCTGAACAAAGTTATCAGACTTTGAAGTGTTCACAATAGTCTCGATTGTCAAGCACCATTGTTACGATAATAAACAAAGTCTAGATTATCCATTTTTCAAATTACATTCTTAAATGGCATTCGTGTTTCAATCCATTGAAAATAGTGACCATCTGATGTTCTAATTAATACTTTATATAATATTTGAGGCAAAAGAAAGACCCGCAATAGGCAAACTAGCTCTTACATTATGCATCTTTAAGTAATTCTCGCAGATGAATCTCTGACATTGAAAGTGATTTTACTGCTAATGTTTGTCTACTTCTATGGTACTATAACTTTACTGTTTGATACTGTAAATTTTGAGCACAACTGATATTAACCAGTTATCAATATACAATGGCAGAACTCAGTAAATTCTTTAAGTAATCACCAGGAAGTGGATTGTCTATATTAGATACCTTTAGGGGGATTTAACCTTGAAACAACACTGAAATTTAGTTCAAGGCACAGAGAATTCCACAAACACCCTTCACCCGTGTTTACAACTGATCTTTCTTACATAAATTTAATGACTGGCTCACAGTGGTTCCCCCTATTCGTCTGCTTAATGTATGTATTTTTCATATCCAAGTTCGATGAGCTTATTTTCCACATTCTGATTAATGCTAAGATGTAATTATTTCTGTTGATTGTGTTCCTTGAACCAGGAGGCCCCAGACATATGCAGAAAAGTAGGGTGTTAAACCCTATTTTATTTCTGGTTTTGCTTTGAATCATGCTCCTTAAGAGTATCAATTACAGATATGATGCCTATGTTTGGTTTTGAAAGGCTAGTAACACGAAGACAGAAATATTGTCGACTAGCAATTTACCCAGTGTTGCACAGGTAGATCTGAAACCCAAAGTAGTATAACTCTTAAACCGGAAGTGTCACTCTCCCAGTTCGAGCTGCCCCTGTGCCCCACATTTGAGCCACAATTGCAGACCTAGCTCCTAGTTTAGGAGGCAACCCCAGACAGACTAACGGACAAACAGACAAACGACAGTCATAATAGAGATATGATTTATCTGCATTGATGACGTAATAGTTAATACCTATATAAGATATATGTTAACATGAAAAGTAGAAAATGATAATATGTGAGATATATAGTCAAGTAAGGTTATAAATCATTATGCCCCTATTATTCCAGAGTTTTTATGGATGAGTATGATTGTATATTGTCAGAAGGAAATACACGCAATATTTGCTGATCGATTTTGATTTATAGTATACATATATCTCCCGTTATTGAACATTTTAAGGTGTAGGGCAGGTCAACCTTGTAGGTTTTTTCAGGTCATCTTGTTCCCTCCCACTGCTAAAGAATCCTAGGTTAGTCTCAAAAAGTATGTGGCTAAGTGTAAGACGCTGGCTCGCTAGCCTGGAGGTCAGGTGTTCGATCCCTGCATTGGCCGAGAAAGTTCATTCAGATTTTCCGGCGTGGTTTCCCCTTGTTAGTGATGCAGGATGGAGGGCCTGACAAGGACCGCTGTCTAGTCGTTCGAATGGGATGAAAAAACGAGGTCCCGTGTACACATTGGCGTGCACGTAAAAGATCCCTTGGCAGTTGGAATTCGATATAAGAGTAGGCCGTAGCGCCACTGCCCGGGCCAAATTTTCCACATAGCACACTGTATGGCGTATGCCCGTCTTCATTAGCCCAGGTTAGGAGCAGAACAGTAGGACGTTAAACCCCATTTCATTTCATTTCATTTTATTTCTCAAAAAGTACTAGTTTGTGTTGAGTGTATATGTTAAACCCCATTTTCAGTTTAATCGGCATTAAACCCAATTTCATTCATTCATTCATTAATAAATTGCTATAACTGATGAATAAGTTTTGTGCATTGGACAGAGAATGCTGTGTTGAAATCAAATGAAAATCAGATGACACCATATAGTGATCGATAAATGTGCACATAACTAAAGAATATATTTGATTAATATTTTATTACCGTTATTTATAATGTTTCATATATGTGATAAGTAGCTGAATATGGCATGTAGGTAATATAATGTAAGATGTAATTCGTTTTTTGAAGTGGTCATATTACTGAAGTGACCATAAATCGTATATGATAATGTGACAGATGTTAAATTTTTCTATGGAGTAAGATAAGATGTTTATTGCATCAAGACGACCATCAAGGACTGCATGCATACATGTACATTTAGACAAATCACATACATCTAAAAATACAATACACAGAAAATACATACAAGTAATACATTGTTTATTGTTTATACAAGTAATACAACTAATACATTGATAGGATACATCTATAATCTATATAGTAATTGCAGGAGGACTGCACTACACACAAAACAAAATCTACAAGATAAACCCACCGACAAGACAGAATACATAGACATTGCGTGAAATAAACAAATATCAAGTCAAGAGGATGGACCCGGGGGCCAGCCATACATTGATAGGATACATGTATGCACAATTAATACATCTGCAAACAATTAATACATTAATAGGATATGTGTAAATACAAATACATATAATACATTGACAGGGCATACACCTTCATACAAACAATATGTCTAAAGAATTTCAATTAGATCTCAGATCTCACCAAATTTAATTTCGAGCTATCATCAAATGCCCCAAAAATATATTAAGTACCGTACATGCTTTTACTGTGCAGTACATACACATGCTTGTCAGACTTGATGTAGATGTATAAGTAGTTTTCAGAGTCAGTGTGTATAGCCATAATATTTCAAACCATGTGACCTGAATTTTAAAATGAATGTAGTCACAGGGTTTCTTGACACATATCTCAAAATTACTTTATTTATGACCAACTTTGTAAGGTGCTTGTGATTGTTAAAACTTCCTTGTTTCAGTTAGCAAATCCTCTGACACATACAGAAGCTTTGAAACATTTCAAGTTTGGAAAAGTTACACTTTTCATTTCTTCTCTAATTCATAAATTCATTAGCAACCATTATTATAATGATTTATAAATTAATATGTATATGTAACAATTAGGATGATTAATGATGAGAATTGAAGTATGAGAAACCTGTTCTTGAACAGAAAGTGAGTTGTTTAGGTTATGAAATTTTACACTACAAGTACATGTATTATGAAATAGCCTCTAGGTATTTCATTTGACGGATGCATGTACTTATTTATAAAAAAATAAAAAATACACATATCAGTCACATGATGTTGATTTTATATGAAAAGGGAGGCCAGTTTTGATCATGTGAAATACTTTAAATCACCTCATGAAAATGTTTATCGTCATAAAGTAACATATTTGGTATATTCCAAACAGCAATATAATGATCGCATAAATGCATAACAGATCATATCTCTCAAACACCAAAATAAAAAGGAATTGACAGAATGTTCAAATATAAAATGTGGCTTTTAAAAAGCTAGGTTCATGTCAAGGTTAACATCTGAAGATCGGGATCGATTGTTCATTTGCGATATTTCCCTGGTAACAGCATTGCAACAAGAGTGGAAAGGGATCCAACAAGGGTAGTTTTGCTCTAAACTTTATAAGAAGCACTCCTTCCGTCACTCAAGCAGGCATGCTGTCAGTTAGTGACACCCTTTCATTGTTGTTCAGATGGTGCCCCATGGGAATTCAGTATTTCTCTAATAAGATTGAGTGTTCCTACTTGCCATATATTCCAAACATGCCATACTTTTATTGGAAAAACTACCCAATAAATACTTTCATGGGAATGTATCTGTAAGTCAGATTAGTTTATATACTGTTTACTGATGTAAACAGTGATTATCTCAGACAGAGTTGTCTACCCTAGCTTTTCACATGGGACACTTTACAATTACATCAGAAACAAATCCAGGATTTGTCAGACACAATACCTTGGGTGACAGTGAATTTGTGTGGCACAAATCTGTCCTTTTTAAATGACATTATTTATACATGTTTGACATGAAGTTCAAAATGGCAGGTACTACCGGTAGTTCAAGAGTATTTGACATTTTCTCAGATACATGTAAAAGCTAAATGATTATTTCCAGAAAACCTGCTATTATATATATAGGTAACACAGATTCTTGGTATGATTGAAAGTAATAAACAGTTTGATGAAAAAAAACAAATAAAAGATTACTGAAGGTGAAATGAGAAAATGTAGAGAAAAATACAGGAAAAAATTGGGGTTTAAATACAATTTCCACATCACATCATCATGTTATTTTAACATAACTTAACAGACTTGCATATATATATGATTTGGTTTTGTTTATCATTATCATGACAAAGACTTAACCTTTATAATGCAGTATTAAAACACTAAAGTTATTAAACTAAAACCATAAAGCAAAATTACATTGTGGGAAAGTAGAAATATTTCAAATATCCTTTGAATAAAAGTTGTGTTTTCATTTAGGGACAGACTGGTAACCAGAGGTTCCTGAGTCAGGTCCAGTTAGAAGACTTTAATTTAAGGAGAGGGAGGATGGGGGGCCCACACCTGCATGATAAATTATTTTGAAAAACTTATTGTAAATTAAGCTTTCTAGGCTATATATCCTGATGTTTCTAGGTTATGCACAAATTTATCATGTGGCAATCTTTCCAATTCAAGATTCTTTATGGGCCATCGGAGCTACCAGTCTTACATGCTCATTCTCAGTTCCATCTTGTTTTCTTTTCAATGATTGCATTTGAAATCTATGACCCCAAGGTCAATGCATTTAAATTGTGGGTAACGAGACTTGTATTGGATAAAGATAAAAGGCATACACGTGTGATATGTAGATAAGATTTGTGATAATAATACATCAGTCTGTACTTAAAGGTTCCTCAGTGTAG